TTATCCCTCCGCCTTTCAACCAGACCCACATGTGATTATCGGCCAGGCTGGCACAATTAACTAACTCATTTAATAAGCTAAGTAAATAAATAAAGAGTTGTAGTCTAGGAAACTTACAGGGGCAGTTTTACCATATCCAATACAGTCACTGTGAGTTGTAATTGACTGGATGGCAGTGAGCGTGATTTTCTGTTTTGGGGAAGGCACAGTGGTTAAGTGCTCAGGTGAAAAGCAATGGTTTGAACCTACTAAGTACTTTATGAAAGAAATATGTGATAGTCTGCTTCCATTGCAGTTTATAGTCTTGAAATACCTATGGGGCATTTTGTCTGTTCTATAGGGTGTCTATGTGATGGAAGTAACTCAATGGCAAGGTGTTTTGGTTTATGGTTTTGTTTTAGTCTTATATCTCCAACAAATCAACAATCACAGTGGAACATATAATAAATGAACTCTACTACATATCTAAAATCTCTTGATACCTTCATTGTAGTTTATGGTGTGAGATGGGGATTCAGGGTCATTTCCATCCATGTTCTTGTTCTTGTTAGGTGCCATAGAGTTGGCTCCTACCCATAGCAACCCTACACACGAGAACAAAATACTGTACCACATGGTCCTGTGCCATCCTCAATATTGTTCCCATGCTTGAGTCCTTTGTTGCAGCCATTGTATCCATCCATCTCATTGAGGAACTTCCTCTTTTTTGATGCCCCTCTACTTTACCAAGCATGATGTCCTTCTCCAAGGACTGCTGTAGTAGTTACACAATTTCATGTCAACTTGATAAATAAGAATGAAAGGGTGTTGTCTAGTCTGTCAATCAGGTCACAACCTGGTGATCCCTCCTTGTGGGCTTGGCCTTCTCATGAGGATTCTGGGACTCCCACTCTTCCTCCCTGGAAGAAGGACACACTCTCTCTCTGCTTGCCATTCCTGTTGACAAGTCACATGGAGCCACGCTGAGGGCAGCCAGAGGCCTGGAGATGCATCCACTGCCATTGGACCCACAGGGCTTTCCACCTACCACTTTGTGATCTTCCTGCATTTGCCATCATTGCATGTGCTGCGTGAGTCTAAAGACGAATTCATGGGCTAATATCAGACTTATGGGCTAATATTGAACTTACAGATTTGATATGGGCTGGGCGGGGATGTTTTATTGATGCATAATTACTTCTTGATTTAAAGTTCTCTCTTGCATATATATGAGTGCCTCTTAGTTGTTTCTCTAATCAACCTGGACTAACAAAACTGCTTTCCCTTAAAATCGTGTCCATAATGAATTAGATGATGTCTTGCCATCCTTCCTCTAAAGAGCATTCTGATTGTACTTCAAAGACAGATTTGTTTGTCCTTTTGGCAGTCCACAGTACTTTCAGTATTCTTCCCCAGCACCACAATTCAAATGTATCGATTCTTCTTTGGTCTTCTTTATTCAATGTCCAACTTTCACATGCATGTAAGGTGACTGAAAATACCATCTTGATACAGGCATACCTTTTTGTATCCATACATATATCGAATTTTTTCAGCAACATTCAATGAAAAGATTATCCTTTTCTCACAACTTTGCAGTGACCCCTATGTTCTAAGAGTGGGCTCATAAAGTTTTTCTCCATTTGTGACTGATTTATCTCACTCAACATAATGTGCTCCAGGTTCATCTATGTTATGAGGTAGATAGAAGATAGACAGTTGTCTATTTTCTCTCTAATTTCTAATTAGTTTCATAAATTTTTATCTAGTAGTTTAAATGTCTGTGTTTTTATTTTTTTCCTGTTTGCTTTTACCCTATGCAAATGTCAACATTCCCAGGAACTTCTTAGCTAAGCATGTGCATTATACAACATCTATCTAACCCCCTGAGACCTATCTAGTGCCAGTGAGGAAGGAATGCAGACCTTCCCCCAGAATTGGCTGCAGAATACCACAGGGTACCATTGCCCACAACTGACGCTGATCTTTCTCTATCTCTTCTTGCTGTAAGTAAAGTGCTGTTTCATATATTTCTTTGCAGCCCTGACACCTGCAAGCAATAGAGTGGGTTGGCATTTTAGGGCTGTTACTTATAGGGATAGGCATTATTATGCTCACAGCTACCCTCCCTGCCCTTGGAGATGGTAACATGTGTCCCTAACTCAACAGTAAATTTCTAAATTAACAGCAATTAAATGATTGAGCTTCTGAACCTGGCTGGTCTGGGTTTGAATTTCAGCTATTCCATGAACTAGATGTTGGCCTTTACTCTCATACTCCCAATATAAAAGATGAGGTTGAAAAAAAAAATGAGGTTGTACGAATTACAGAGCTAATGCATGTAAAGCACAGTGCATAGCAGCACAAAAATCAGCATTTAGTAAATATTAACTACTACTAATTCTTTAATTATTAGTTTCTTCAGCATCTTCATCAGAAAAGACATAATGTTTAATTTACACAACTACTATAAAAATTAAATTATACTGATTGCATCTAAATGAGATCAACATCACCCTGAAATTACATAATAGGGCTAGACTCACTCTATATTTAAGCAGAGTTTCTGGCCCATTAGCTTAGTAAATGCATGATTATAATTTGGGCTCTAATAAAAGTACTTCAGGGACAAGAGTATGTCATTGAACCTTGAATTTAACTACAAATACTAAATATCAAGCATATAATATACAGTAGCATACACATTTGTACTATTAATATACTATCAAACCATCCAGAAAATGTAATATATTAAAGAGCATAGTCAATTATGAAAAGTAATTTTTAAGTGTATTAAAATTACATAATAATATTGGCAAATTTCCCAGTACACTTACTTTTGCTTAAGGGCCTGATTCCGACTCTTTTGACGGTGTGAGGCTGATACAAAATCCATGAAAATTCCACAGACAGGAGTTCTAGAAGGGGAATTGCTTGCATCTGTACAAAATTAAAATGTTGGTTTTGTGAAACATTGAAATATTTCTCCAAAACAAACCACAAAAGTCCTATAGTAATACAATAAGATATACAAGGGTGAATAAAAAAATCATTGCCAGTAGGGTTCCAACAACTTGCTGTTACTGTTAGGTGCTCTCCAATCAATTCCAATTCATATCAACGCTATGTACACGAGAGAGAGGCGCGGGCGTGGAGGGGAACACTGCCTAGTCCTACCTAAGCTATTCTTGCAATATCTATTATATTTGAGTCCATTGTTGTAGCCACTGTGGTAACCATCTCACCAAAGTTCTTCCTCTTTTAACTGACCCTCTACTTTATCAGCCATGATGTTCTTTTCCAAGGACCGGTCTCTCCTAATAACATGCCCGAAAGTGAGTGAGATTAAGTCTCACCATCCTTGCATCTAAGAAACATTCGGGCTATACTTTTTCCAAAAGAGATCTGTTTGTTCTTCTGGCATTCCATGACACTTTCAATATTCTATGCCAACAGCATAATTCAATTGCATCAATTTTCTCCATCCTTCCTTCTTCTTTATCCAATTTTCGTATGTGTGTGAGGTGACTGAAACCACCATGGCTTGCCTCAAGTGCACCTCAATGCTCAAGACATCTTTGCACTTTAACATTTTAAAGAGGTCTTGTGTAACAGATTTGCCCGGTGCAATATGTCATGTGATTTCTTGGCTAATGCTTCCATGTACACTGAATTGCGGATCCAAGGAAAATGAAATCCTTGACAACTTCTTTTCTCTGTTTAACATTGTGTTGTCTATTGGTCCAGTTGTGGGGATTTTTGTTTTCATTACATTGAACTATAATCAACACCAAAAACTGTGGTTCTTCAGTCATCCTTGCTTTCCGCAAGCAAGGTTGTGTCAACTGCATATTGCAGGTTGTTAATAAGCCTTCTCCTAATCCTAATGTCATACTCCACATAGTCCAGCTTCTCAGATTTGCGAGCATGCAGATTAAATGAAATAGTGAAAGGATACAACTCTAGCACACACCTTTCCTGATTTAAAACCACACATTATTCCCTTGTTCCACTCCTATGGTTGCCTCTTGTTCCATGAACAGTTTCTGAATGAGCACCATTAAGTGTTCTGGTATTCTTCACAATGTTTTCCATAGTTTGTTATGAACCAGAGTCAAATGCCTTTGCCTATTAAAAAACAGACACACACAAATAAATATATTTTCGGTATCTTCTCCTTTCAACAAAGATCCATCTGAAGACGGCAATGGCATCCTTCAATCCATTTCCTCTTTCAACTCAAGCTTAAATTTCTGGCAGCTTCTGGTTGGTGTAGTGCTGTAATCATTTTTTAACTGTCCAGTAAAATTTTATTTGCATGTAATATTAGTGATAATGTTTGATAATTTCTACATTCTAGTGGGTCACGTTTCTTTGGAATGGGCACACATATGAATCTCTTCTAGTCGACTGGCCAGGTAGCCATCTGGACATAGATGAGTGAGTGCTTCTAGCACTGCATCCATTTGTTGAAACATTTCTATTAGTATTCCATCAATTCCTGGAACAATGCTTTTGCTAATGCCAGTACAACTTGTACTTTTTACGTCAGTATCATTGGTTCGTGATCAAATGCTAACTCCTGAAATGGTTGAATGTTAAATACTTTTTGGTACAGTGATTCTGTGTATGTCTTCTATCTTTTTTTCTTTTTCTTCTATCATTTTTTGATGAAACCTGTATTATTCAATATTTTACCAAAAGACTCCTTCAATATTGCCACTCAAGACTTGAATTGTTTTATTTAGTTCTTTCCACTAGACTAGAGAAATGCTGAATGTGTTCTCTTCTTTTTGTTTCCTAAGTCCAGGCTTTTGTACAGTTCACATTAATATTTTACTTTGTCTTTTCAAGTTGCTCTTAAAAATTCTCAATTTAGCTCTTTTGCTTTATTATTTCTTCCCATTCACTTTCGCTACAAGAGCAAGTTTTACAGTCCGTTCTATACCTATTTGAGTCTTTTCTTTCTTTGCTGTCTTTTAAATAATCTTTTGTTTCCTTCATGTATGGTGTTCTTGATGTCATCTTACAACTCATCTGTTCTTCAGTCACTAGTGTTCAATACATCAAATATGTTCTAGAAATGGTCTCCAAATTCAGGTGGGATGTACACAATTAAATAGTTTGGGCCTCATGTACTTGATTCCATTTTATCTTCAACACAATCTTGCACATGCACAGTTGATGGTCGGCTACACAGTCGGCCTCTGGTCTTGTAGCTAATGCTATTGAACTGCTCCATCTTCTCTTCCCACAGATGTAGTCAGTTGATTCCTCTGTATTCCAATTGGTGAACTGCATATGTATATTCCCATTTATGCTGTTGAAAGATAGTATTTGCGTTGAGGAAATCATTGGCTTGTTGTGATCCACAAGGTTGTCACTGGCTAATTTTCTAGAGTAAAACATCAAGCCTTTCTTCCTACTCTGTCTTGGTCTAGAAGCTAAGACTGAAGCTACTGAAACCTTTCCATCATGGATCACCTTGCTGGTAGTTGAAAGGCCAGTGCATAGCTTCCACTATCACAGCAACACACAAGCTACCAGAGTACGACAAACTGACAGAAGAGTGATCAAGTTAATACATAAATGATTTTATTCCAAATAAAATGTTTTAAACATGTCTCTCTGATCAGCGGATAAGTTCTTTCAGTAATACACTTTTCTTAGTCACATTAGATGCCTTTCAAAAAAGGTCCAATTAGGGTTCCTCTTGCTGTGTTTGAGCTGCCCTAACCCCCTCCCCCAGGACCATCACATTCGGCTAATCCGCGCTTCACGGTAACCATGCACGACTGAAAGGCCGTGATCAAAAATGCAGGCATGTCGGAGAAGAAGCAACAGGACTCGGTGGAGTATGCTACTCGGGCGCTGGAGAAATACAACATAGAGAAGGACATTGCGGCCCACATCAAAAAGGAGTTTGACAAGAAGTACAATCCCACTTGGCACTGCATTGTGGACAGAAACTTTGGTAGTTATTAGACACATGAAACTAAGCACTTCATCTACTTCTACCTGGGCCAAGTGGTCATCCTTCTGTTCAAATCTGGTTAAAGCATGGATTGTGCCCACACACCCAGTGATCCATCCGAAACCATGGACTGCCGCCCAAACTCCAAATAGCAGAGACTGCACTCTTCAGCCTTGCTAAGGGAACACCTCCATCTTGAACCTTTGTTCTTGTGTTTGGAACAGGACCTCCTCTGTACTCGTTTGTGGTTCTAAAGCAACTAGCAAAAGGGCAAAAAAAAAAACAACCCCAAAAAATGTCCAATTAAAACAGTGGGATCTGCTTGGCCAGTTCATTGAAAGGCAGAAAAGTTAGCTCAGATAGTTATGTCAACTATATTTTGGAATTCCAAAGTGGCAATCTTGTTAGATTTTTCTTGAAGGATATGTACAGGCTTCTTATGAAGAACACAGAAAATTGTATTGGTAGACAAAGGCAAGGCAAGGAAGTTTTTTTCCCATCATGACAATGAGCCTGCTCATTCTTCCAGAGTAGCAAGGGTGGTCCTATGAAAACTTCACTGGAAAACCTTACTCTGTTTACCTATAGCCTTAACATTGCCCCTTCATACTTCTTTTTGTTACCAAAACTTAAATAACATGTGGCATCCTTGAGAGTGCCAAAACTGATGTTTTGATGTGATATGAATCAAAGAGCACCAAATTCTTTAGGTACATTTTAGAGATATGGAAATACCACCTATAGAAGTGTACATATATATAAAAAAAGTGTACAGACCTACAAGGAGGATATGGCAAGAAACAATAGCTTTGCATTTTGATGCTTTTGTTTAGTAGAGGTTTCTACAATTCAGTAGCAAGACTTTTTAATTTACCCTCATATAACAATTATACTCAATAAACTATTAGAAACAAATGATGTGATTGAACTATGGAACAGTATGTCTGGATTAGCTCCTAATAAAATGCTTTGGAGGTAAAAAAGAAACAAATGAAATCAGGGATACAAATCTTCCACAAAGATTTAAGGCGTGTGTTTCAAAATTTTAACTTAACAGAGCAAGTATTTACTGATTATTGCATATGTCTTTAATACTATTAAAATTATTATAAAATTTGAGAATTATTTAGGATACAATCCTAGCTTTTATCCGTCAAAAATTATTAAAGATGATAACCTAAGAAGATAATTGGGACATGAATATAAAAAATAGCTAAAAATAAAACAAGTTCAAATTAATATTAGATCTATCATTAAATAGATCAAGAGAGTATAAAAGAAAGGACAAGGCAGAGCATAAGCTTCATCAGAAGACTTAAAATTTCCCAAAGATGTTAGATTGATAACTAATTATCTGACTGATTTGTTTCATTCTATAATGAAAAATACCACTATCTTGAAAATCTATTAAAAGGTCATCACCTAACAAATATTAATTATCCCTCAAGTTCACCTCTTTCTCTTCTGAGAATCTGTGTAATTTCCTTCATGTATTTGTCCATGTTTTTACTAATTTATAATATGATTTCAATTACATGCTAATCTGACTTCTCATTTCTTTTGGACTTCTGTTTAAACTTAATAAAAGCAGAATAAACAACCCTATTATCCTTCCTACAGCTTCTTACCCTCAAAACACTTTCACATATCTTACTTCATTTGATCCTTACAACCGTTTAAAATAAGGCAAAGGAAGCAGAGCAGTGTAGTACAGTGGAAGGTATTCTAGATTTCAAGTTGGAAGATCTGAGTTCAAGTCCTAAAGCGAGCCAAATATTTGCTTTATGACTGTGAACAGTTATTTTATCTCTGCACCTCTATTTTCTCGTTTGAAGAAACATCTTCCCTATGGTATTATTATGAGGATTAAACCAGGTCAATTATATGAAAAGTAATCTACTAACCATAAAGTACTGTAAATATTAAGAGATATTATTATTCCAACTTTTAAAAAAATCAGGCAATTGGTAGGCTTACTTAATTCTGTGCCAAGTGTCAGTACTCAATAAATACTATTGACTGACTAAGTAAACAATTTACCTTTCGGAGGTGTATGAACTCTTTTAAACACCATGGTGTTAACTTTAGTGTACTGGAAAATGTTATTTATCAAATGGTTTCCTATTGCCCTGAAAAAGGATAAGGAGTGCAGTTTATAACCAAATAGTTCAATCATCACAGGAATAGGATATTTTATTCAAAATAATAGAACATTGTGTTGGGGTAGCCAAATAGGGTAAAGAAAACTAATACTCTCTACAACCTACTATTATGATAGGATTAATAACACTTAAATATTGGTGCTAAGTATGTGTCGAGCACATGTACTTTACATATAGTAACTTATTTAATTAATCCTCACAACAACCCTAAAGAAAGTCTTACCCTTGTTTTGAAGATAAGAAAACTGAGGCCCAGAGAGGTCAAGTAACTTCCCAGGATCACACAGATAAAACTCAAAAGCAGATAGCAACTGATAAAGCTAGAGGGTTTGAAAAAGAATCTGACTCCAGAGCCAACACTATTGAGCACTACTCTGTGTAGCCTCCTCTAGCTCAACAGGAAATAGAGCTTATGTCTGGGGTAGTGAATTCTAATCTTGTAAATTTGGAGAGTAAGGATGTATTAGCAAAGCACAAATGTTGAGACTAGATAATAAAAAAAGGTTGTTCAAAGAGATGCTAAGAAAGCAGTTAACAAAGTGATAAAATTTTGCAAACTTCTCAGCAATCAAGGGACAAGCTTTGAATTCTGTCATGTAAATCCTACATGTTGGAGATTCATAGAACCTCCCTGGTATTTCCTATGAATCAGTGAAAAATCACCGACACGAGTTCATGAATCTCAGGCATTTAATACTGCCAAAAGGAGTAGCACTAAATGCCGCCATCCCAGACAGGTACCATGGTTAAAATTTTTTTTTCTTAGCACTTGAAGAACAGTTGTGCATTAAAAGACTGTTCCATATGTCTGCGCTCTCTTGATAGATGTTTCTATCTATAATGGACACAAGATATGAGGGTAATAATCATATTGCCAAACCTTTAACTGAATTATTAATCAGTAACTATAATTACTAATAATTATAACTGACATATTTATTATGACCATTATAATTACCAGTGACTGATACTCTAACTAGATGATTTATTTTAACATAGTGTGTTAATTAATTATATTTTTAATATTATCTCCAGTGCTATTTTTAATGCTAAGTTTTGTTTTTATCAAAAATGTCACAGATTCCCATTTAGGTGATTTTAAAAGATTTACTACTACAATTAAGTTAATTGTATCCAGATGCCAAGATTTTTTGAGCAAATACACTTCTAATTTCATTTGCAAATAAGGATTCAATTAGAAGTCCAAAGTGTAACCCTTACACCACCAAAGCCCCCTAATATACCAATAATAAATATTTATGGAGCGCCTAGTATGTGTTAGGACCCCTGATGTAACCTGGTGTAGTAGTTACACCTGGGGCTACTACCTGCAAAGTCGCAGTTCAAACCCCTAGAGGCTCCTTTGGGAGAACTAGGGTCTTTCTTTTTTTTTTTTAATCATTTTATTAGGGGCTCATACAACTCTTATCACAATCCATATATACATCAATTGTGTAAAGCACATTTGTACATT